AGACAATTGGAAATTGCAGAGTTTGAGAAAATGAAAGACAAAGTCGCGAGATTGGTTTACATTATGCACAGATTAAAGAAGTTTTTAAAAATGATAAGAAACTAGGGTTCCAGGTGGAGAAATCAGAATTAGAAACAGAATTGTTAGAACCAAAGATTAAGATACTTTCAAGGATGTATAACTTGCTGTTGGAATGGAATACACAAGATGAAATGGTTAAATCGGCTATGATAAGGTGGGCACAGGATATTGGGCATAATATTATGTTTGAGGACTGGGAAAGGCTGTGGAGTAATGGATTGAAATTTACTGCATGTAATGCTTTGAAAGAAAATGTAATGAAAATGATTTATAGATGGTATATGACCCCAGTCAAACTCGCAAAAATTACCACCTGTCTGATAACAAGTGCTGGAAATGTAAAGAGTGTGAAGGAACGTTCTTTCACCTCTGGTGGACCTGCCCTAAAGTGAAGGCGTTCTGGGAAATGATTTATAATGAATTGAAAAAGGTATTTAAATATACTTTCACTAAGAAACCAGAGGCTTTCCTTTTGGGTATTGTCAGCCAAGGGGTGGCAAAGAAGGACCAAACATTTTTTATGTATGCAACAACAGCAGCAAGGATACTACTCGCAAAACATTGGAAAACTCAAGATCTACCCACACTGGAAGAATGGCAGATGCAACTGATAGACTATATGCAACTGGCTGAAATGACTGGCAGAATCCGTGACCTGGGAGAAGAGAGAATCGAGGAGGATTGGAAGAAATTTAAGAACTACCTACAAAAACATTGTGATTTGACTGAATGCTGAATAAGATGCTAGACTAAATAACTGAGCACCACTTAACTTAGAAGTTTTTAAGAAAATAAGAAAAACTGTGAAAGTTTAACTCTTTATGAGAACTATAAGATCATGAAATATCGAAGAGATATAAGAATTTAAATAAGATGATAAATTGCTGACAAAATGTTATAATGATGAAGGTGGGAGCGGGAGATGTGAGGAAGTCCAAAGAAAATGTGAAATTATGTTAAGACGAATGTTATATTGTTTATTACATTTATTCCTATTGTAAAATCCAATAAATTGTGACAAAATCAAACATTAAAAACTTCCCTAAGCAGGGCTGCCTTCAGATGTCTTCTACAAATCAGATAGTTGTTTATTTCCTTGACATTGTGATGGGAGGGCTTTCCATGGGCAGGCACCACTACTAAGAAGGTCCTCTGCCTGGTTCCCTGTAACCTCACTTCTCGCAGGGAGGAAACCACCAGAAGGCCCTTGGAGCTGGACCTCAGTGTCTGGGGGGCTGAAGGATAGGGGGGGAGACGCTCCTTCAGGTCTACTGGGCCGAGGCCATTTAGGGCTTTCAAGGTCAGCACCAACACTTTGAATTGTGCTTGGAAACGTACAGGAGCCAATGAAGTCTTTCAGGACCAATGTTATATGGTCTCAGCGGCCGCTCCCAGTCACCAGTCTGAGCTGCCACATTCTGGATTAGTTGTAGTTTCTGGGTCACCTTCAAAGGTAGCCAAAAGTAGATTCAATTGCAAAAGTCAAATCGGGAGATAACTAGAGCATGTGGCACTCTGGTGGGACAGTCTGCGGGCAGGTAGGGTCTCATCCTGTATACCAGATGGAGCTGGCAGCCAGCTGCCCTGGACACAAAATTGACCTGCGCTCCATGGACATGTGTTAGTCCAGAATGACTCCCAGGCTGCGCACCTGCTCCTTCAGAGGCACGTTACCCCATTCCAGGGCCAGGAGTCCTCCACACCTGCCCCCCGTCCCCCCCAAACAGTACTATCCCCATGGGGGCCCTTTTCTGAACCGACCAGGTGAAGCTCATTTCTTTCATATATTTCTTTCTTACCTTGGGATTTTCTCCTTCGGTCCCAAGGGGCCTCAGGATCCAGAAGTTTCGGTTCTTGAGCAGGTTCTCCATGTTCTCCAGCCTCCTCTGGAGCAGGCCGTACTCCTGGATGAGGGTCCCCAGGGCGGCCACATGGTTGCTGAACTCCAGCTCGGTCTTCTCGCACTCGAAGATCTTCTTCTCGGCTGTGGCTGTCCGGCCTTCCAGGTTGAGGAGCCGCGTGGCATAGGAGTTCCACCTTCCTCTCCACGGCTTGGATGGCAGCCACGGCTGGTCCAGAGCGGGATCTCGGCCGCCGGGGTGAGACCTCCCTCTCAGCGGCTTGGTCAAAGAGGGCTGGCGGCTGGAAGGGAGGCCAGATGTTGCAGCTCCACCTCCCATTCCCAGCCTGCGGGCAAGAAGGGGGTCAGACCAGAGCAAGGTGCTTGCGAAGGGAGTGGGGGCAGCTGGAGAACGAGCGGCGAGAGGGAGGGAAAAGGAAGAAGGAAGCGGAAAGACAGAGTGTCAGGAAGAAGGGGGAGACACAGAGGCAAGACGAGGCAGAGGGGGGCGTTTCACGGCGCCAGAATCACTGTGACATCCGCTTGGCATGAAGAACTGGAGTCACAATGGCAATGTTTTGTCAGCATTTGCAAAAACTTCATCTTTGGAACTCCCTGTCTCTAGACGCCAGGCAGGCACCTTCGCTATACTCTTTTTGGGCGCCTGCTAAGAATGATTTTCTTTA